CTGTCGGAGTAGCAGGCGCCGGGGTCGTTGGAGGCTCGGGGACTGGGGTAGACGCGCTCACCGAAGAAGAGCTGCCTACTCCCCCAGCTCCCTCGAAGTGGACGTACTCGACAGTGAAGTCGTCGTACATCGGAGCCGAGCCATCGTCCACCACCTTGTCCCACGCCCATCCTCGCCCTTCGTCGAACACAACGTCGCACGCCGTGCGCACACGCTGTGTCTTCGGGTCGAGGATGCGGTAGGTCTTCGAGCCCTCCGCGTAGCCGATGAACACTCCCGGAGTGCTCCTGTCGTCGAGCTTGCTGATGTGGCCAAGCTCCTTGGCGAACGCGAGGCAGCCGAAGACCCGCAAGTGGGAGACCGCCGGCTTGCGCCCATGCCAAGCCTCGTACGACATCCTGCCGTCGAGCGCCTTGGTAGGCGAGCGGTTGAGGATGTAGACGGTCGTCACCACCGCCTCTCCCCAGAAGATAGCCGGCATCCCCCTCTGCTTGAGGAGGGCCCGAGCCATCCCCACAACCGTCTGGTTGCGTCGCTCGACGACGCCGTTCTGCTGTGGGCTGTACGGCGCGGAGTAGTGGCGCTGAATGCCCTCGTCAGCGCAGTACGACGCGAATTCAGCCGCCGTTGTCGGTGCGCAGCACGCGTAGCTTGCGGCCGCACTCCGCCTCTACAGCAGCCTGCGCGCGCCTGATGGCGTCCGCAGCCTCTCCCTTGCAGCCGAGGACCATCACCCACATGTAGCGGGAGAGGTCGTCGACGAGCAGCAGGAAGTAGCGTCGTCCTCCCGGTGTGGCCGGTGTCACCGGGCCACACAAGTCCCCGTGCACAAGCTCAAGCCTCTCCTTGGCTCGAAAGCTCGCCCGCTGGGGAAAGGGGAGTCGTCTCTGCTTCGTCAACACGCAGACGTCGCAGAGCTGCTCCACATGATCGAGGCACGGCAGGCCTCGCACCATCTCCATGGCACTGAGCCACTTTAGGGCCTCGAAGTGAAGGTGCCCGAAACGCTCGTGCCACTGCCATGCCTCGTCGTCCCGACGAGCAGCGAGACAGAGGGGTTGTGCCACCTACACGTTGAGGACGTAGAGTCGATTTGCGCTTCTGGATACCTTAGCAAGAAGGTGACGACGACGATCCCAAATCCTCATGACTCCGTCCTCAACCACCACGCGCGAACCGTTCTCATCCAGCTGTCCTAAGCTGATGATGGAGTTCCTCAATACGGGGATGTAGTAGACTCCGGTGAGCAGCTTGTGCTCACCAGACACGGCGGTGAAGATGACGGAGCCGACGCCCTTGATCTCCACGCCGGAGGCATCCCCAAACTTGACGGAGCCTCGGACGCTAGAGTCAAGCTCGGTGAAGAACTCCCGTCGACCGGTCATGTGATGGGTGGCGCCGGTGTCGAGACACCACCCGTCAGTCTTGTCGTTGCCGGAGCTGTCGCCGAGGAGGGCGTGTGCTTTTGGCTCGTCAAGGTGGAGGAGAGCCGCTGCGGCCGGTGCCGCTGGAGGCAGCTCGATGCTAGCATGTGCCATGAACAGAGCTGGCTCCTCCTCCTCCGCCTGTGCGACGTGGGCCTGGTCGCGTTGTGGCTGTCAACAGTCCTTGGCCTAATGGCTGGGCCGGGCGCGATTCTGCGGCGGCGCGTCGTCTCGGCTTGGCTTGTGCTGCCGGGCGGCGCCGCCACAGGTGCCTTCAGCGGGCATCACCCTCGGCGCGTCGCTCGCACCCGGCTCAGGCGTCTCTGCATACGCCTTTGTGTGGCTTGCCACGCTTATGCGACCGCTTTGTCGCGGAAGAAGGCTCCCCTTCTTCCGGTCACCTTGGCTGGCAAGCCACTGCTCCCGAGTGAGAAGGAGCTTCCCGCCGGTGGTGATGGGCCCCGAGAGATCAGGCTCATCGGCGTCGACGACGACCTTGAGGCGACCTATCGCCTCCTCGATCAACATCGTGGAGAGATCCAGCAGGGACTCGATCGAGCGAGCCATCTGCTTATACTTCTCGGGGATGCAGTGGAAGAGCTTTTCGACAGCTCTCTCCTCGCCGTAGGTGTAATCGCCGAACTGCACCATCTTCTGCAACAGAGTGTTGAGACGGAGAGCAAAGTCATCAACGTCCTCACCTAGCTTGAAGGCCAGGTTCTCCCACTCCTTGCGAAGAGCCTGCAGTGTGGACTTACGGGCGCGGTCGCTGTCGATGCGTGCCGCAGCGATGGCGTCCCAAGCCTCCTTGGCAGTCCGCTTGTTGGTAAGCGAGAACTGCATCTCGGGCGGGACTGCAGCGATGAGGGTATCCAGCGCCCGTCGATCTAGGTCGTAGTCGACGTCGCCGTACCGGACTGCCTCCCACATGTGCCGCACCTAGAGCTTTACCCTCATCACCGCAGCCCACTCGACGTAGTTGGTCTTGGTGAGGGTAGGCCACCCACCGCCGGGACCGACGTCCCTGACAACAGCCTGGAGCCCGTGGTAACCATGGTACCGATCCGGGGAGAGAGAGCCACGCTGCCTGTGAAGGCCGCGCTCTCCATCGACCCGTCGGTACCGATCCGGGGAGAGAGAGCCACGCTGCCTGTGAAGGCCGCGCTCTCCATCGACCCGTCGGTACCGATCCGGGAGAGAGAGCCATGATGCCTGTGAAGGCCGTGGTCTCCATCGACCCGTCCGCCACCGCCGCCGTGCGCGCCTCCTCTAGGAGCCCCGCCGCCGTGCTCGCCTCCTCTAGGAGCGCCGCTGACGCGTCCGTGCCTGTCTGGGCTGCCGCCGCGCTTGTGGGCGTGCGCGGATACCCCAGGAGTGCCACCGCTGTGGGCGTGCGTGGCTGCCCACTGCGCCGCCCGCGCTCGCGCTGCCTCCCTCTCTAGCAGCTCGAGGTCTGCGTCGGCGGTGTTGTCAGCAGAAATGGAGCTGTCGATGCTACCGCGCAGAGCCTCGACCTCCGCCGCCGCCGCACGCGGTGCATTCGCCACCGCCGCTGCTTCCGCCTTCGCTCTGGCTGCTGCCAGCTCTGCCGCTGCTAGCCTCGACGCCCTTGCCGCCGCTGCAGCGGTCTCTGCCGCCACTTGCTCGCGTTCCTCTACCGCGGCAAGTTCGGCCTCCTGCCGACGCCGCGTGCTCGAGGCGACCGAGCACTGAGACTGCCCTGCGGACATGACGCGCTACAGGGGGGCTGCTGCGTGGGGAGAGGGCTGCTTCAGACGAGCTGCTGCTTGTCTGTGTAGAGGGAGAGGAGTGAGCAGGGGCGGCCGGAGGAGCTGCTACTGCCAACAGCTGGGGCTGTTGTGGGGCTGGGAGGGGAGATGAGCATGAGATGCTCAGGCTATAGGATAGTACGGCTCTGATACCAGTTGTTAGTCGTTGAACTCTCACTCTTGGTAGTAGCAGAATTCTTACTCTCATCGAGAGAGGATGACACTAGGAGTTGGGACAATTTTCTGGTTTTATTTCTCACACAAACTCACACAAATGCCATGCCAAACTGAGGGACTGGGGTTACATATTTACAGGCTGCTAGCCAGCCAAGCATATGCCAAGATGCTAGTCTAAGATGCCAAGATACTAGTCTAAGATGATAGTCTAAGATGCTAATATGCTGTCCCAGCTAAGATGCTGTCCTCTAGATGCTGTCCTCTAAGATGTTGTCCTCTAATCTAAGATGCTGTCTTAAAAACAGAAAAACAGCCACAAGGACTATGTGAGCAGCACAGCCCCACAAAGACCAGCGACACATGAGACTTATCCATCAGTAACTAGGATTGATCGTGAATTTGAAACTGAAGCAGCCGATGAAATTCTAGGAAGGGAAGACGGCGCCGAGCAGTGCGTGCGTACCTGGACGGGCGCGGGAGCCGTCACCGGGATGGCCGTGGCAGCAAGGGCCGCCGACTCGGCGTCGTCGTCGACCACTACCACATCGGAGTCCGCGAGATCGGGTGCGAGGGATCTGGCAACGGCGGCGCGAGGACGAGGGCTGGCGACGACGGTGCGAGGGTGAGGGCGACGTCTCATGAGGGCGATGGCTGGCGGTGGCGCGAGGCCGAAGGTGAGGGCTCGCGAGGGCGATGACTGGTGAGGGCGACGGCACCGGGCGGCGAACGATTCTCAGGGGAGCGAGGCGACTGCGGGGGAAGGGATGGATCTTTCCTTTTGTGCTGGAGCGAAACACGGGGAAGACAGATTGATGATTGGAGCCGGGATCTTGCGCGGAGGAGCGAGGGAGCACGGGCAATCTAGGATCTTCCTGCGGTGGAGTGATGGGACCAGGGGCACCGCACGCGAGGGAGCGCCGGGGATCGCACGCGAGGCAGGACGATGGACCCATGTGAATGTCGCACCAAAGGGATGTCCACTCTTTTGTCTTTTTATTAGTTTTTTTATTTTGAGTTTGTGATTTGTGATTTATGGTTAGTTTGTGAGTGTCGCACCAAAACGATGTCCACTCTTTAGTCTTTTAAGTTGTGAGAGCTATAGAGCTATAGAGTTGCCTAGTCTAATCCCTTTGAGCATTCCTAATTGCTCCTTTCAAGTCCTGGATGACTAATTGCTCTTGGCTTGATGGCCCATAGGCTCCCAATTCCTTGTTTATATATTATATCCTCCAAGGCCCTTCAAAATGCAAAATATAAGTCGTATTTCTCGTAGAACTCCTCCAAGGCCCTCCTCCATCATGAATTTAGGGATCCTATACTCTTGTTTCTTGTAGGATTCACCACTAAGTTCTAGTAGAACTAGAAGTTCTAATAGCCATCCTTCTTGAATCCTAATCCTGAGTATGATTTGAGTCACCTTTCAGCAGTAGCAAGCATTATCTTGCAAGTTGATTAATATGAATAAAATGAACATTCTTCTCAGTTTTTTTAGCTTTAATTTTCTAGTTTTTCGTCTCGCCTGTATTATGACTTGTGTTGATAGCTTTTCAAACTAAATTTTAGTACATAACCGTTTATTTTTTCACACTACTTCTGCTAACTACAAGGCTGAATATGTATTGCATTCTAGAACATATCATGTGCTGATGATGCATCAAGACACATCGCCTGATCTCAGGACAGTTGGCATCAACCTGAAAGAAATCTTCGGGGTATTCATCTTTTAGCCTTACTGTTAAATTATTCTACCACTTCTGCAGTCCCTACAAAACACGTTTCTTGATTGGTTTTCAGATAGAAAACACATGTTGCAAAACAAGGAAATTGGTAGTGGATGTTTGTGAGGTTGTTGCCACCCGCGGTGCACGACTTGCTGCTGCTGGGATACACGGCATCCTCAAAAAGCTTGGGCGAGACATTGCCAGCCCTGAGAAACAAAAGACGGTGATTGCTGTGGATGGCGGAGTGTACAAGTATTATCCTTTCTTCGCCCAGTGCATGGAGAGCACTCTAAGAGACTTGCTTGGGGAGGAAGTGGCGTCCTCTGTCGTGATAAAACTTGCCGAAGATGGCTCAGGCACTGGAGCGGCCCTCTTGGCAGCCTCCTATTCTCAACGTTTCCAGGCTGTGGATGATTAATTTCTACTTATAGTTCCTTCAGATTCTGAAGGTATAGCAGGTATACAGCTGCTCCACTGAATATTTGTTTATAACGGTTATAAGATTCATCGCCCCCATTGTTTTTGTAATCAGGCCTGTATGCAATGCCCATTTTAAGGGGTTGTTTGAGTCGCTTAGACTCCTTTTCTTTTATACACCTCTCATGTGGGTAGAAAAAAAATTACAATGCTCATTCAGTTATAGAAAATTTGATTCAAATTTATTTGGGTATTTTTGTCTTTCCGACTTCTCATATGGAATCTTATTTTACAGCTTTAATTTGTGTTTGGACCTTTAGAAATTGCTTGACAAAGGATATTTTTAAATTGATGGGTCTGTTTATACTAGCAAAACGAACAATCAACTCATATCAAGAGCTGTAAGAAGGTGAAATGAACAAACTATTTCACACCTGACACTTATATATACAACTGAAATTTTCCTATTGAACGAAGAACAAAACGAGCAATGCAGTAAACATAACTTAAACCCAGATCTAATTAACATAATAACATGTATAAAAAAAACGGGCAACTCAAAGCCTATCCTCGAACTCGGACAGGAGGATCATGTTCTTGAGACCCTTCCTCTTCCTGATGTCGCTGATGAGCTTCGCCGCCATGGATCCCTCCTCTAGCGGATCGGAGTTGATAGCCTCCCAGTGGTCGAAGACGCACTGCGGGAATGCCTCGCCAGACGTCTCGGCGCGTAGCTTCTCACTGAACTCGAGCGACTCGGTGACAGGGAGGTAGGCCTTGAAGTTGATCAGTGGCGTACCCGGCCTCTGCCTCTCCTCTATCACGCAGCCCCTCTTCTTGTTCAAGAGGCTGTAGATGCTCCCCGTCGCCCTCTCCGGCGCCTGGATCTCGACGAGGTAGACGGGCTCCATGAGGCGCGGCATCGCCGTGAGCTGCGCTGCGTAGATGGCGCGCCGCGCCGTGGGGATGATCTGGCCGCCGCCGCGGTGGATCGCGTCGGCGTGCAACACGACGTCGCGGAGCTCGAAGCAGACGCCGCGCATGCTCTCTTCGGCGAGCGCGCCCTCCTTGGAGGCCCACTGGAAGCCGGCGACCACCGAGTCCCTGATCGCTCCCACGTACTGGACTCCCCTGCACATGTCCACCATCATGTTGGGCCCGGTCGCCTCAGGACCGAAGCACCATATTTTCTTGGCCACGTCCTTGTCCCAGCCGAACTCCTCGGACAGGACTTTGGCACGGACCTTAGCGTCGTCCTTGCAGCCGACGAGCTCGTCTTCATCGATGGCCTTGGCCAGCTCTTTCTGCAACGGCCAGGCCTCCATGTACAGCCGATTGTGCTTGTTCGGCGACTTGCTCATGACGGTGCGGCACGACCTGGCTAGAACCGTCTCGCGGTACGAGACGACGGGCGGGCCAATGACGATCTCGGTGCCGCTCATGAAGTCCTGCCGCAGATCATTGAGGCAAATCTCCAGATGGAGATCCCCCACGCCGGCGATGACGTACTCACCGGTCTCCGTGACGTTGCACACCACAAGGGGGTCCGACTTGGCGAGGCGCTTAAGCCCTTCCACGAGCTTGGGCAGGTCGGCGGCGTTCTTACAGGCCACGGACTTGTGCACGACCGGCGATACGGAGAACCTCATGGCCTTCATGGGGTGCGCGTCCACCGCCTTCTCGTTGGTGAGCGTGGCGTTCTTGGTGATGAAATGGTCGAGGCCGACAAGGGCGACGGTGTTGCCGCAGGGCACGTCCTCGACGGACTCCTGCCTCTTGCCCATCCAGATGACCGTCCGCTGCACCGTCTTGACGAAGAGGTCCTTCTTCCCGCCGGGCACGTAGTTGGGACCCATGATCCGGACCTTGGTTCCGGTTGCCACCGTGCCGGAGAAGACCCGGCCGAATGCGTAGAACCTGCCCTTGTCGCTGGCCGGGGTCATCTTGGACACGTAGAGCATAAGGGGTCCCTCGGGGTCGCAGTTGCGGATGCCGGTGGCGTACGCGTCGTCGAGGGGCCCCTCGTAGAGCGTCTCCACGCGGTACTGCTGCGCCTTGGCAGGAGACGGCAGATGGAAGACGATCATCTCCAGCAGCGCGGCGCTGGCGGGTAGCCAGGCCTGCATGACGCGCTTCATGAGCGCCTTCCCCGACAGCTCCCTGTCCTCGGCCTTGAGCGCCACGGAGAGCTTGTGGAGCATCGGCCACAGCTTCTCCTTGCCGCCGCCGTCGCTCATGCACGCTTGGATGATCTGCCGGATGGGCTGGTAGCAGAACTGCACGAACCCGCGCTGGCACGTCGGGGAGCCCGTGTGCCTGGTGGACCAGCTGCGGGTGGCTGGATCGAAGAAGTGCTCGCCCCAGAGCCGCTCCGTCATCCTGGCCTCGTCCACGTTGAACTTGTCGGCGTACATCTTGGCGAAGTCGGACAGGGTGAACGCCCAGCCGTGCAGCCCCGCCGAGAACGCCACCGTGCCCTTCTCCGGCGACACCTGGCAGTCGCCCAGCTTGCTCTCCTCGTACGTCGAAATGACCACGTTCGCGTTCTCGATCACGCGCAGAACGCCTGGTACGCCTCCTCGCCGTTTTGCTACACGACAGGTCACCTCTGTCACACACCTAAGTACTCCGTACTACAGTGCAGGGCAGCAGAACACAGTCGACTGAGGGAGCACCTCACCTGGAGCTCAAGGAAGCAGCGGTCCATCTTGTTGACGACCAGGGCCGTGTTTAGGTGACCCGAATCGGCGCCGAATGCACTGTAGCATTTTGTTTTTATTTGGTAATAATTGTTCAATTGTTGACTAATTAGGCTCAAAACGTTCGTCTCGCAAAGTACAACCAAACTGTGCAATTAGTTTTTGATTTCGTCAACATTTAGTACTCCATGCATGTATCACAAGTTTAATGTGACGGGGAATCTTCTTTTTGCATAGTGTCAAAGTTGGAAATTTGGGGTGAACTAAACATAGCCCAGGACGGGCTTGATCCGCTCCGCGAGGGCCTGGCGGAGCACTGTCTCGGTCTGGACGCAGACGCCCTCGATGCAGTCGACGACGACGAGGGCGCCGTCGGTGATGCGGAGCGCGGCCGTGACCTCCGACGAGAAGTCGACGTGCCCAGGCGAGTCGATGAGGTTGATGAGGTACGACGAGGTGCCGTCGCGGGCTGCCCCGAAGCGCGCCAGGGCCCCCTCGCCCATCTCGTAGTAGAGGGAGATGCCCATGGACTTGATGGTGATGCCGCGCTCGGCCTCGTCCGCGCGCGTGTCCGTCATCCGCACGCCGCCGACCGCGTCCTGCGCGATGATGCCCGCCGCGGCCACCAGCGAGTCGGTGAGCGTCGACTTTCCTACGGTCAAAGTCGCAAATCACAATCGCGGGTACGCATAGGCAATAGTGACTTGACAATCACAAATTCACAACATCCTCTATGTACCACGTATGTACCAAAAAGAATTCCAACAAGTAAACATAATGCATATGCAAGCACCATTGGTTAAGGAACAAAGAGAGAGAGCAAAGGAGATCTGACCGTGATCGACGTGCGCGATGACGGAGATGTTCCTGATGTTGTGCTTCTTGTCCATGCTCGCGCAGAGATGGCCGGCGGTGACCTTAACCATCTTGGAGGCCGGCCCCCAAAAAGGTGACACCAAGAGCAAGGCGAAGGATGGATCTCTGATCTCTCCTCTCCTGCAAGAGCAGAGTGTTAAGATATGTAACAATCTTGTAAACGTGACACACAAGTATAACACGTCAATCTTGTGTTCGGTTGAGATAGGATTAGTTTGTTAGATCCATATCTAGTTCAACCGAATTCCTTGTAATGCAAGTTTGTACATATATATATATATATATATATATATATATATATATATATATATATATATATATATATATATATATATGTTAACACGTATCCGTGATGAGCCAAGATAGGCAATCACGTTTGCTATATTGCTTTTCATGGTAATCAGAGCCTACCTTCCATAAACCCTAGCAATGGCGTCATCCTCTTCCTCCAACCACTCCCACCATTCACCCTTCGGCCCAGCCATCTCTGAGAAGCTCACGAGGGAGAACTTCCTCCTATGGCAGGCACAAATCATGCCTGGCATTAGGGCAGCGCAATTTGAAGGTTACCTAGATGGAACCAACGCCGCCCTGGCCAAGACCATCGATCTAGTGAAGGATGATCAGGCAAAGATCACCGCCAGCAATCCTGAGTATGAAAAGTGGTTCAAGGAGGACCAGCAACTCCTGTCCCACATCAACAACTCCCTGTCGAGGGAGGTTTTGGCGTAAGTGACGACCAAGACCACCTCGGCGGCCGTCTGGCAGCGCTTCGGGGACATGTTCTCGGCGCGATCCGAGCATCGGTGACCAACTTGCGCATGCAGTTGGTGACCTCAAGAAGGGCAGCCGATCACGCTGCACGCATACTACGCCAAGGTGAAGGCGATCGGTGATGAACTCGCCACCGCCGGGAGGCCAGTACCAGATGAAGAGCTGGTGACATTCATCTTGGCTGGACTCGACTTTGACTACAATCCCGTCGTGTCATCAGTCCTGGCACGTGCGACGCCTATATCCCTAAGCGATCTATACGCTCAGCTACTCGCCTATGACACAAGGCTCCAGATGCTCCAGGAGAACTACAACGCCGGGCAGAACTCATCTGTCAACGCTGCTTCACGCGGGCGTGGGGGTTTCCGCGGCCGTGGTCGTGGTGGTGGTACTGGTCGTGGCCAAGGTGGGCGCGACAATGCCAACTCTCCTCTGCCTTCGAAGGAGGTGCACCGACGTCGTCCAAACCAATCTGCCAAGTGTGCAAGAAGAAAGGCCATGAGGCCGATGTGTGCTGGCACCGCTTTGAGGAGGACTTCCAGCCCTATACCAAGTCTGCTGGAGCTGCGACCACCAACTACGGCTATGACACCAATTGGTACGCCGATAGTGGGGCGACTGACCACATCACCGCCGAATTGGAGAAGCTGAC